TTTGATTAAAAGTAAGACTGTTTCCTCCAATATTATATTTTTGATATATTAGCAAATTTTAGTTTCAAGAAACAATTTCCGCCTTTTTAGCAGCACTGCTCTACTAACCGTTCCACAATTCATGACTTTTATCAACCTTATAAGGAATGGCATAGAGTTACTATCAGTTTGTACAGTATTGTATGTTTATTGATTCATTACACTTTAAACCATATAAAATATTTACAAAACAAATTCATTCCTGTACAAGGTTTGGCAACCCAATATGAAACATGAACTAAAATGAACACAGTCAGACAACAGCAAATACACCCTGTAAAAAAAAAAAAAAAAAAAAAAAAAAAAAAACAATTATATTTAACGGGGGTGACCCTTCAGCTTAAACGGAAGCCAGTGAGTTAACAACAACAACAACAACAACAACAACCGAAATTAATATTCACTTAAAATATATTAATATATATTCACGTTAAGTTTAAAAAGAAACTTTACTGCCAAAATACAACAGGCCTATTTGTCTAGTAGATTTAAAAAAAAATTGATTCAAAAGCAATAAACCAAGATTTAATAAACATGTTTCTGCTATATCACGCAGTCATCTTTAGTAAATAAGATAAAATTTAAACTAAAAACCTAACAAATACGCCACGTCAGTTCATATAGTGCCAGTAGTACACGTATCCTTAGCAATACAGATGACTCATAACTGTACAACCTCTGTGATGTTCATCTGAGCTCCAATTTCATCAAATATTTTAACATGTATTTTATATACTTTTTGTTTTCTTTATGATGCAATGAATAAAGATTGAATAATAATAATAATAATAATAATAATAATAATAACAATAATAATAATAATAATAATAAAATTAAAATTCACTTACAATATATTAATATATATTCACATTAAGTTTAAAAAGAAACTTTACGGCCAAAATACAACAGGCCTATGTCTAGTAGATTAAAAAAAAATTGACTGGAATCATACTCAACTGAAACACTAGTTATTCTAATCAATTAGGCTTACGTTAAAACAAAATGAATATCAAGAACGTTGAACCGAGCCAGTCTTAAAATATTCATGTTTTAAGACATGCAATTAATATTGTCAGAAGATTTGCATAGTGAAGTAACAATACCTCGACGTTTCGAATATATTGGTCTAATTGTCTTCTTTTAGCCGAAATAGACGGTCAAACAACCTTTTCTATTATTAACTATTAAACTCAGGTCAGAGATTTGATTTTTTTTAGATCTAAGTTTTTTAAACACCCTTGTATATAACCTTTTTAATGAAAATCTTTAATGATGATTTTTCGTTTTGTTTTTTAGTCATCTATACCTATATTAGTACAATTTAATTGTTAAGTTACAAGGATCCCAAATGAAAATACTGTACGTTCTTTTTTCTTTTTTTTTTCGGTTATTCCTTGCTGTAAAATTGTTTCAAATGCTTTTTGTTTTGATTTATTTTCTGCTTTGTATTGATTGCTAATAAATTCAAAACAAATATTTTGTTATTTGAAATAAGGAATACTGTTTGAGAGAAAACATGCAAATGAGAATTTGACCTTTATCACAAGTGGCATAGAACAGATTAAAAAACGACATTACTGTTAATACCAAAAGTGAAAAAAGACTTAATTTCTTAAATGTCTTCCGCCCTCTATGTTCACAAAAGTTGCTTGGATCAGTAACATCAAGATTTGTGATTGGCAAAGGGTTATGCACGGTTTTACTAAAGTCTCATGACGATTAAAGTCAAAGTATCATCATCTAGTATCATCACAGTTTCATGTAAAATAAGGAACATCTCTCATAAAATCGAAATTGAAATTATATAAAAGGCGTTGAAACAAGGAATTGAATGTGTATATTGAGAAGTGGGTTTGCCTGTATGCTCCAAGTGAAATGAAAAGTAAAAACATTGAAATAAAAAAAAAAACGGTGTACAATCATTGAAAGTTGACTTGCGAAACAGAAATTAAAATATAACAACATTAAACGGATGTTTCGATAGCTCCTGCTATCAACATTAACGTGAGAAAACTTTGGAGATCTTACACATACATAAAGAATAATAAATGATATTAGAATCAAGTTAAAGATACAATTAGCTATTTGACCACAAAATACAAGTTCAGTGTCAAGTTAATTCGCCAATTAACTTTTCACTGAGCTTATACCGGTATTTTGTGGTCCTAATTATATCTTTAACTTGATTCTGATTGGTTATACCATTTATTATTCTTTATATATGTGTAAGATCTCCAAAGTTTCCTAACTTTAACGTTGATAAAGATAGCAGGAGCTATCAAAATATCCGTTTGATTTTGTTATAGTTTAATAATAAGAATATTAATAATAATAATAATAATAATAATAATAATAATAATAATAATAATAATGATATAGTATAAATACGATATGGATTATATATAGACTAAATTAAATCAGATGAAAAACGAATATCGTGTGGTCAAAATAAACATAATGTAATAATCTGTATAATTACAGTAGTGGTATATAAAGTATGCATTATGCTTATCATGAATAATAAAACAGTGAACAATATCCGATATATAAAAGATGAGTATAGATACTCTAGTGGACTATGATAAATATAAATTAGCCTACATGGTCTATTTATAAACGGTCAGTACTTTGTTCATTTATTTAGTTTCTAGACGAAACTTAGCAGAGCTATTTTGCAGTAAAAAAATTGTCAGTCACTAAACCAACAAATTAAAATTATAGAATTAAAAAAACTTATGACTGAGGACAGTGAAATAGCGGACCCAAAATTATTATTAAACGAGGAAAAAGGGTGTTCATCAAACACTGCATAAATCAGAAAAACAAAATTACAACATGCTTTTCTTACAAAAATGGAAAATAAACGATATTAGCGATAAAGACACAACTCTCGAAAAAAAAAAAAACAATGCAATGGAAAATAATGAATCACCAGGGACCGATGGAATTTTAGCTGAATTTTACCAACGTTTTTGGAAAGATATTAGCAACACCATGACAAATTCTTTAGAATACTCGTTTCATACAGGAAGTCTGAAAAAAGACAAGTCTCCGGTACTGTTGAAAAACTGGCGTCCTATTTTATTACTGAACGTTGATTACAAGATTTTTTCTAAGGCCATTGCGACACGACTGAAAAGAGTACTGTACTACCATCTGTTATTAATTCTGATTAAACATGATTCCTTAAGGGACGATATATTGGTGAGAATATTGAATTTCCACATTACTGAACATGCACTAAAAAATAATCTTCCGAACTTGCAATTTTTCGTTGATTTTGAAAAATCATTCGATGAAATAAAATGTGATTTTGTTTTCTATGCACTAGACAAATTTGTAACACAAAATATTTTTGTAAATTGGATAAAATTACTGTAGGATATTTATAGTTGTGTCATAAATAACAGTGTTTCTTCGAGTTTATTTGCCTTTATTCGTGGTTTACGCCAAGGATGCCCTCTATCGCCGTATTTGTTTGTACAGTACTCTGTGCAGAGTTTCTGGGTAAACCGCGGTTCGTCAAACAAAGTGTAAGGTATATCCTATAATAACATAAATATTAAATTAATTAAATATGCAGACGACAGTATTCTATATAAAGGATTCCAACTCAATAAAACCGATATTGGACGTTTTAGTTGTGTTGCCTTACAGTCACCTGCTGTTTATTCTCTATACTTATCACCCTTTTGTTTATACCTGTATCCACTTGTTTATAGGCCTGATGATACCCTTTGTTATTATGAACTCTGACCAATTACTAATTGAATATGCCAACTTGTACAGTACATTCGGTTTCTTGTTAGGCCTATCTTTCCATATTATTCATTTATTAACACACATGGACCCCTCATGAGATATCTGCCTCAACATATTTAATATTCTATCGATATTTTTTATTTGTTACTGCATATTATTTTGTCGGTGGGTATTGTGAAATCAAAATCTATAAATCGTAATTATGTAATATTTCAATGTTATTTTTTTTAAAATTTTATTTTGTTTACTAGCAAATATGATTGTTTTTACATTTTATCAATTCCCAAATAGTGTTATGATATATTTTCTGCACAATCCACCTTTGTCTTTCTATTGTTCTATTGTTTTATTCTTGTGTTGCAACTCAATTGTGATTTTAAAGATTTAAGATATAAATGTCCATATTGTAGAAATGATATTTTAATAAGAAGCGAGACACAAGATATTTTTAATGCACTATTACTAAACCTTAAAACTAAAAGAAAATGCATACTTTTGGAGTCCGTACTGAGCCCAAAAAATCCGCAATGAAAATATAACGTTATTAATCAATGGAGAGACAATGTTCAAAAGAATTCATCCCTCTCAGTTTATGCATTCTTAACGCCTCTACCTATATTAAAACACTACCTTATTGATAAAACGGACTTTGAGGGGGTTGCACTGAATTTTCAACTTAGATCAAATACGCTACCACTAAATTTCAGAACATCAAATTCGTCCACAAATAGTAATTGAAAATGTACCTTATGCAATTTAAATTCAGACAAGAATATTGGACATTTCGTCTTAGCCTGGCCAGCCCTACAAAATATACGTATTGATGACATTTCAAAATTAACAATAGAATTACTTGACAATATAGAATTGTATAATTAATGCAAAAGATGACCTAAAAACGTTATTTTTTCGGTTTGCTGTTTAGGAAAAAGTATGAAAATATCTTCGACAAGTTTTGCAAAGGATATACCAGGAGAGCATGGAAATTCCGCAACGAGATTTCGAATTCCATGCTTTAACTATACTATACAGTAATGCTGTACAGTTCATCTATGTTCTCAATTTCATGTGTAGTTGTTTTCTTTCCTGCATTACTATTTTTGATGTTTAGTTTTTAAGGGGAAGAGGTTTAATGATTTGTTTGGGGAGGGAATAAGGGTACTTCGAGTATTGCTTCTGCACATAAGGGGTAAAGCTGTTTTTTTTTTTTAGTTGTGGGGAGGGGTAAAATCTGAATCTTCGGGGAAGAGAAAGGGAAAAATTTTAGCCGTTTTTCGTTACTGTAATTTTAAGTCTTAGTTGTTCTTGTAATTTGATGTATCTTGTAAATCTTTCGTTTTTGAGTTTTGTGTTTCGGACACACCTTTGTTTTCCATAGCGTGCCACTGATGTAAAAGTGCAAGTCCAAATAAATAATATTATTATTGTTCCTGTAATATCCTTTACATAGTTTGGATCTTGTAGTACGCTAGTGTTTAATTTCCAAAAACTAGGACCTCTCTTGTTTAATAGTCCATAGAAAGCATTATTAGTGAGTGATCAGTTTTAAATCCGATATAATTGAAGTGTCATTTACTTGCACCCCTAAAGAATCTTATGATATTCTTCTCCCATCAAACACGATGCCTTCCCCTCTTATTTTCTCCAGCAACTTAATTAAACTCATCCTAGCGATCCTCTATTTCCCATTCTGGCAACATTTCCATGATAATCTCTGTTTGACAATACGAGTTATCAGTCTGTATGGCTGGGTTCATCTGTTGTAAGAGACCCGAGTGTTCCGGATGTTAATGATGTTAGCAATGTATGTGAAATGTCCCTCGAGTTCAGGTCCTGGAGCAGACTGAGTATTTTTCTTACATTTTCAAATTCCTCTGCTGTTACGTTTCAATTTATATTATTCAATGCATTATTCCGCTTGCTGTTTTTTTTTTGGTGTTTTCCCAAGCCTTAAAATCACTTTATATAAAACAAGTATCTTATTCGGGATCCAGCGAGCCGAGAATAATGTAATGTAATGTAAAGGGTGTACCTTATAGATATCTGACAGTCTATATTCACATGTGATACTAGTGCTATATCTAAATTGTGACATCAGACACGTATAAAGAATGAAGGGAATTCAGATTCTACCTGGTGCTTGAATCACCACCCCTTCGCAGTCAAGTGGTTAGGACGTTCACATTGTACGAGAAGGGTCCCAGACTCCTCTTTTGTTAATTATGTTATTTATAAATAAGTTATCAATTCCATAATATCAAGTCAGATAGGATCTTGATTGAATGGAATTTTAACTACAATTAACTGAAAACAATTGACTGCATAATTTTTGGATATTTTTGTATTCAAGTTTCACTTTATGATAAAATAAATTGCACAATAACAATTGGTATGCTTACATACATACTGTAAAATACAATTAATGACTTTCCACTATTTTCCGAAACCCTGGGGGCAAGCAAGCATCTTTATGGTGTCAGTACAATGTTCTCTTAAATGAAAACATTTTTACTGGTAAACCTGTTCAAAAAATTACGTGCAGTGTGATGTGTTACCTCTTTTGAGTGGGGTTTAATGACTTGAAAAAACAGAGTCATGGCCTAGGCATAGACTGGAATATGTTAATTTTTTGAAAGAAGGCCAGTCTATACTACCTAGGAAAAATTAGTAGTTTTTAATTTTACAAACAGGAAATGTTTACTGGTTGCCCAGCTATTTTTACCAGTAAAATTGATGGTTAAAACAGCCTTGGGAGAACAAGTAAATGATCAACGGGTCAGCAAAGTTGGTCAGTAACACAAAATGAGTATTCATACATGTTCTGTATAAGTTTAATTAAATTACATCATAACTATAAACCTTTTTTACAGTGAAATGTCATTTCCAGGATTTCAACCTAGGGCTCGTTTCAGATCAACCTTGATAATACTGTATCTACTGTAAATTATGGCTGAAAGATGAGCATGTAAAATCACCTAATGAGAACAATTAGAAAAACATTTTAAATGTATATATTTCCGGGGATTTAGAGACCTCAAAACAATGTAACACAATATGGTATCTGTGCCATATTGTTAAATTTTGCCTACCTCTGCTCTAACCATGATGAGCCTAAAGTCGACTGTAACACTCTACTGCCGCTGACAAAGTCCTGCACTACATAATGACCAACGGTTGGCAACAACAACAATCAAACGTTTGATAAACTAGTAGGTAACATGCAAAATCCACCAATGACTTGCATTTATATTAAAGGAAATTGGAACGAAATGGAACCCTATTTTTACCTTCCTGTTGGGAATTGAAACATTTTCAGTATTGACCATGGGAATCAGTGCACCAAAAAAAGGTTAACCTAGAAACTAGATGGTGTTAGATCTACTGCTTCAGACTGTGGACACATTTCCATCACCAAGATAAGATACTTGACTCATCAAACATGGTGATAGATACCATCCTTGGCAGTAATGTTGTTCACATTAGGTGTGTTGTTCTTTCAATAGCATTCTTGTATTGGATGACTGAGTAACAATTCATCTTCTACATTTTGAAGAGCCCATTTGTGGGTGACAATCTCCAAAGCTTCCCATTCAGCCTGAAAAAATAAGAATGATTTATTTATTCATTATCACATTATTTTCTTAAATGTCTATGTAAATAGATGCAAGTTGAGATGCCAAAAATGTGAAGTATACATGGAAACATGTTTATATCCAAAATATACATAAATATTCTCGCATCTCGGCATTAATATCCACGTTATACACAATGGAAAATGTATGCACAATTCATTTAATATCAAAAAGCCAAAAATAAAAATGCCTTTAATATTATTTTGGACTTTTGCAAGCAAGCATACTCATCAACTTCTGCCTACACACTGCATAGCTGAACATGGTGCATTTGTTTACTTTTTAGCATGTGGAGTAGATTTGAAAATCACAAAAACAAAATGTGTTTGGATGTCCCAACGATAACTAGAATTACTTGTTTTACACTACGCACTAAAAGCATAGCCTCCCCACAGTGCAATGTTTCTGTAGTATAAAATTTTAAAATCTTTGATTTCTGAAATTTAAAAAAAGCATTTTGAATTTGTGTTTAGGATTGGTATTATGGCTGGGGGTGGGGTAATGTCCCCAAGTCTTCACCCCTCACCCACTGAGTTGAGGTGACTGTATCACTGTGATCCAGCATGGTGGTCTGACAGTATATAACGGCTGATCTCGATAGACAGCGATTGATTGAACGAAAGTTTCCATGCTAGTGCGTCTGCGCGTAAACTTTCTTCGTAGCTATCCATTGCACTATGTGACTTACACACGATATCAATCAATCAATCAATCAACCAATCAATCAACCTTTCTTTCGGAATCGGAAGTGGAACAAAGTAGGAAATAGTTTATGGGAATTATGATGGTATTTATTGAACATTTCCTGATTAGTGATATATTAATTATGCAAATGAGCTATTAGCATATCCACACACCTCCCAAAAACAATAGGCTCCATCTTATTACCATCTTGCATTCTGCCAAGTTTGAAACCAATCCGCCTTAATACCAAACTTTAGTTATCGTGGTAACAACTATGACAACGATGACGACAACAACATGAATAGGAACATGGGTAAAACCAATAGCCTCCCCAGAGCTTCGCTCCTTTGGGGAGGCTAATTAAAATAAAATGTATTGAGAGCAAATTTTGCAGGGCTTACACCAGCAAATTTAAGGATCATATCTTTATCTGATTACAAGACGAGTGTCCCAAAAAAGGGTGATGCACATGTAAAAATGGCCACACGGAACGATTCAAAGAAAATTATTATGACTTTGCTCATAAAGTGCTGATTAACTGTGCCCAATAAAAAGAGAGAAAGACAACATTTTGATTGAAACCTTTATTTGATATCGTACAAATGTTGATGATATTCGGATAGCTCATTAAATCCTAAAAACAGGATGTATTTCAAGAGGGGTTTACAAATTTTAAAAAAGTACTGTACTAACTGTAAAACCTCAAATTAAAGGCCTGGGCTTCTTCCTTTTTTTTTTTTTTTTTTCCTTGTGAAACTTTGGATGGGTTTCTTTTCAAGGCTACTTTTGCAAAGTAAAGATGGGGGGGGGGCTTCTTTTTTTAAACTGAATGCTCTAAATTTTGTGAATTTGTACTATTAAACAATAAACAAGGCTACCGTAACATCAATCTGTATCATGGAGTGTATTTAACTGGCATTAAATCGCCAAAACTACTGTATAAACCAAGCTTGTTTTCAATTTAGTTTTTTTTTTTTTTTTTTTTTTTAATTCATGTACAGTACAGAAAAGAAGCCTATGCTATCTTGAAAAGAAGTATACAGACTTCTTTCTGAGGCTAATTTTGCAAACTAAAGAGCGGGGTTCAATTCAAAATGGGCTTCATCACGAGATTAAGCCCATTGGGCTTTAATTCAAGGTTTTACAGTACAGTAAAACCCCTTATTTACGTACTGGAAGTGCACAGAGGCGTTCGTAAAAATCATTCGTACGTAAAATTGGGATTGTGTGAAATTCCTATGTATTTACACTACCGATATGCTAGGCTGGGCTAGGCCAGGCCTGGACTAAAATTTTGTTGGATTGGAGCCAAAACTCTGACATGCGCTCGAAATAAATTCAAAATGAAGATCATAAGAATGTACAGTACTATGCATACAGTACTTGTTAATGTGCATACAAACTTTATTCTCTCTTTCTCAGGCAATAATATATGACTTATCTTCTAGCTTATGAAGAAACACAGCCCCGCGGGCGCCGTAACAGGGCGAGTAATGCAACAACGTTTTTCACTCGATTCATGTTCTTGTGGCGGCAACCTGTACAAAATAACCTGGAAACCAGGGGTTGACAACTTCTAAAAAGAAGAGCGCTAATTGGCTGTAGACACGCCGCTCAGACTTTTTTTTTTGTATGCAATACGATTGTTCTACGCCAAAATTTATTTATGTAATGAATAATAAAGTTAAAAAGAAAATGTGGGTGTTAATGGGGAAATTATGAAATGGTAGATTAACATTAGTTAGATTTGATAGATAAAATCCATTTATAATTAGGGGGTTCATTAAATTACAATGAGGGTGGTGTATTCAGAGATGAATAAATCATGCGCCTAGCATTGGGTGGAGTTTTCTCACGGCTGCAGACATGAAGTATGATCGCTGTGTTGAATGTCGGTGTATTGAAAGCGCACTACCTGCATTTTCTATTGTAGTAGAGATCACTGATAGTGTTCAGCAAACCGACGAAGACCGAGTGAAAACTCCAGCATGCGCCTAAACGATTAATTCTTGACACGCGTGTGTTTTGTACATGAAGTAAGAACTTTATTTATGACAACAATGACATGATTTTACGTTTGTAAAATCGGAAATTCATAAAATCAGGGTTCGTAAATGAGGGGTTCTACTGTATATTACCTAGCTTTTAAAAAACACACACTCGCACTCCTATTATTATAGCACACATAATGTATACTGTAAAATATATTTATTTATTTATGTTAAATTTAACATATTTATACAGTATGGCATCTCAGGAGGGTGTAACAACCTGTTCTACATATGGTCCATTTATATTCATGTAATGGAAAAGTACTGAATATTGGAATAGAAAATGATGTTTGGTGGCAGTTATTTATACAAGCCTATTTGTATTTTACAGAGCACACATGGATTCACATGCTTTATGCAGTATACAAAACAATATGAAACTCATTTTCAAATACTGCAATATATTATTTTCAATGATAGGCAGGGTCTCTTACCTTAAAAGCCTTATTCATATCGGGGCCAGGGCCCATACCCATTGGCGACTGCATCTGCTGTTGCATCATCCGTGCTTGGTCAGCAGCTAAAAATAAACCAAACCAAATATTTTAATTCTACTTAAAATAAATTCACTATACTTTATTTAAATACCATGTGCGACTGTTGAGAAGGAGCACCCTTTCATATATTAGGGAGCTCTTGATTTGTGCGACGACATAACACTACAACGGATTTACTCATCTTTAAGCATTCTAGGTTCTCTGCAAACATGGGTTTGAGTCAAATTGCACCTTAGAATTGAGGCTACAATGAGAACTCAATGTTCTTGCATGCTCAGTTGACTTCTATTTGACGTCCTTTATATAGGCCCTACTGTCGTCGTGCAATTAAAGGCTCCCTACAAAGTATCATAGCTGAGTGCACTGAACTGGTATAAATTTCCGAGTTTTAAATTCAAAACTTTATTTAATAAAGTTGACAAGACAATAATTATTCAAACGGTCATAACTTTACTTCCAGACACTGGAGTTCATTTAACTGTTATTTTAAAGTAAATGATAATGTTCTATGCAACCAACAAAAACTTGCAGCGCTTTTATGATCTTGAGTCACAAAGAGCGCCATCATAATGAATATCATTTCTATCAACTGCAGCAAAACATGAACAAACATACGGTAGTTAATTTTTTAGATCATTACTTCCCAGGTCTTTTTCCCCCCCCCACCCCGGGGGAAGAGTTAATGTTTTGGCCACCACTGCCAGTGAGTCTACGTGCAATACAATAGTGGTATGTTGCACAGGCGTGGACATGAACTCACGTACATGGTGCCCTAGACCCTGTCGGACATAAACCCACGTCTCCGGCAGCAAATTTGATTAAGTAAAAAAAAAAAGACAGTCCTCTAATTCATATCATTATAACTTAGAGTATGGTGGTATGATTCATGAAAACAAATCACATGAAAAGAAATCACAGCTACGTTACCATTAACACTGCTGCAAAATAAATCAAACCAAGAGTATTGAACTCTTATCAACCTACCGTTATTTTCGCCAAGGACCAAAGAATAAACAGATCGCAGACCAAAGACATTGAGAAAATACCAACTTGCTGAGCTGACCCAGGAGGCATCAAGGGAGGCAAGTTCAACCCCTCGTTGCAACATAGGCTTAAAGCGCAGTGTAAGAGGAAATGGAACTTTAGCTATAAAGACAGAGAAAAAAATTATTATTATTGTTAAAAATAAACTATTAATCATAGTAAAATAACAAAGTGCACAAAATACACAAGGAAGATACATTTGTAGGATTGTAAACAATATTACAAATACATCAACACAATCTATACTATAAAGGTTCCTTTTTTTTTTTTTACATCAGATGATAACTAAACAAAAAATTCAATGACTTCACACGAGTTGATCCACTTGGCAAAGTGAATATATGTGACTCAGGTTTTACAACAAAACAAAATTAATGCATTTTAATTTGATCTTGCGATAATCAAAACGGTGAAATTATTTATTTGGATGAATATTTTAAGATTGTGTTCTTTCTCCATATTGTGATTCCACTCTTGTTATTATAGACTGATTTTCTCAAAACCAGGTTTCCATGCTAAACTTTAAATGCTCACATCTAAGGAACTACTCATACTAGAAAACCATTCGAAAACCATTAAATTAAAGCTTACAAATTCTAATCTGTTCAAGGTGAAGTTAAAAGACATTTTATAGATTAGAATTAAAAACACAATAATGATGTGAACCTGAGGTAGAAGGGGGTCTAAATGGGTGGCAAAATAGATTTGATTTCCAATGAGCGATTTACTGCTGTATATAGAGGGCTAAACAATCATTGTGGTATGTAATGAGACTGAAGGGCTGTTGTAAATAGGAATGTTGACAATTGTACAGTAGATTCAGTTCATACACTGTTAATCAACTACTAAATTTTAGTGTCAGACTTTTTAACCTCAGAACCTAGAGTATATCTAGTAGATTAATTGTATTAAAATAAATTTTAAAATACTATTGCATATCTAACATACTACTGTATTATCATTGGCGATGGTTATCATCATAAATATCATCTTGCTATCATCCTGTGAACAAGGCAGAGTTGTCTATGCTAAAGCATTTTTTTCTCACTCTATATAATAATAACAATAATAATATAATAATAATATTAATAATAATAATAACAATAATAATAATAATACAGGAACTTGTGCTGCGCCTTAAAATTAGATAAAAAAAGGCACAATAAAAATACAGTAGAACCTCGATTTTATGTGCGATACGGGACCAGAGGGCGTATTGGGTTAAATTTGTGGTAACATTTGACCTAATACGTACGTAACGCTCAATGTACATATGTATGAACGAACGATGTTACCTAGCTAGGCTAGACCAAGCCTCTAGGCCTACGAATAAAACCATGAGTTTAGTGTTTTTATTCATCACTTTACGATGTCATAATAAAGTGTTCAAATAAAACCGTGTGTCTAGTGTATTAATTCACCACTTTATATCTTTTATTTTTAACTAAAGAACATGAAAATATTGTAAGATTACCTATACGACAAAGGCATAACTTGGAAATTCCCCTTCATGTCTATTTTAAACAACAGAGCTGTGGTGTTGCCTGGGCCTGTTGAGACAAACTAAACCCATGTGCGCTGCACTGGGTGAGCCAACCAATTAGCGTTCGTGTACGTGAAACAGCAACCATGTGCACTGCACTAGGCGAGCCAACCAATTAGAGTTTGTGTACGAAACTATGCCAGCTTCGTGTAGAAAATTCGACCAGGCAAGTGTTTCCCTGGTTTGCCACATGAAGCTAAGGAGGAAAGCAATTATTTTGAGCACCATCGGTAGTTGCTTATCTCACTCAGTTCAAGTGGTTTTAGATTATAACAACCCGGTGTTAGACTCAATCAACCTTGCTGTTTAATGAAAATATGTTGCATTATGGTTTGTTTATTGTATAGTTTATTGTTATAGTCTTTTTACTTATGGTTGCTCTGAAAAGGGCTGTTTGTTTTGAATATTTTCGGGGTTTTTGATGACGTCATCATCGATACGAGGCGGACGTAAAACTGAGGGTTCGTATAACTGGGGTACGTAAAAACGAGGTTCTACTGTAAATAAAAAAGATAACCAATTGGTGATCAACAAAGACACCAGAAATGACATATCATTTATAGAAATATCATTTCTGTAGTTTCATTTTTTTCTCAAAAGCAAAAGCCTTAAAATCAAGGTGCTTTTAGTAAAATATTTAAATTCCCTTACTAATAACAAATCCAGAGAATGCCCAGTTGATCCAGCCTCCAATAATAATCATTGGCAGAATATTAGTCAAATTGCCTTTCATCATGTCTGTCATCATGCTAGGATCTGAAAAAGAAAAGATGAAATTGATAATTGTGAACATTTATAGAAAAAACATGGTATCATTTTCTACGGGAAATCACTGTCCAATTAAATCATGAAGACTCCTGCATTCATAAATATAAACATTTCTTTAATGATTTTTTTAAATAAAAATGTCAAAATTTAAGATAATTTAAGCTTGCAATAAAACATTATTTGTGCTTCATTTGAGAATAGAACATTTTTAGCGCTGGTATCCACCATACGTGGCAAAGACAAGCCAAACTTCAGGAATAGCACTGGAATAATACTGTAATTATACTTTATTTATTACACAAAAACCCAATTCACAAAATTCATGTTCTACAGCCTATTCTGGCTATTAAGGCTTGTTTCTCAATACAGTGCGAGTTTACAGCCCCTTTATGATCTTGGGTCACATATATCTATACATCATGCTTTGCTGTTTATTTTCCCCATTATCAATGCTAAAAAAAAAATTTTTTTAACGTTTTGGAGTTGGTTTCTGTCTAAGAAATGTCCGAAATCATAAACTTTGAAGGCCGATTTCTCAAATATTCTTTTTGAAATGACTGTATGTTTAAACTCCTGTAACTTTATAACGAAATGTCGGATTTAAATGATTCTTTTACCATGTTGTAGCTCTCTTTTTACTGTTTAAACATTTATTAATAACTAAAAACCGACTTTTGCGACAAGTGACTGGTTTGGCTTGTCTTTGCCACATACATGATGCTCATGGTACTTCTGCAAATGTTTTATTGTTTATACGCAGCACTGAAAAGTAATGTTTTTAGCGCTCTCTTGAAACTTCCAAGATTCTGTGTCATCATGATATGGATGGGGAGACCATTCCATACCTGGGCTGAGGCAACAAAGAAAGAGTGTTCTCCCCACCTGGTATTTGAAGATATTTCAGTGATCAGTCCAAGACTGGATAAGTCCTGCTCGTGATGACTTATATGTATTCACAATACTACCGTTGAAATTGCCTAAGTCGAATCCAAAATGCCATTGAAAAAATGTTCGACTTGGATAAAATTAACAAAATGTTAATTAATGGAAAACACAACAATTTGGCATGTAAAATAAGTACGACTTAGAAATTATTTGAGTTAGGCAAAGTCGACTTAAACAAGTTAAACTGCTGTAAGGGCACTACTAGTTGAAGAATGTTTCTTAATCATAATTGTAAATAATTTTAACAATTTCTCCTATTGACATCAAATTTGACAATTCTTCTTATTGAATTTTTAAGTTTCTCTTTTGGAACTTGAGGGAATAATGATATAATACAGTTAGCTCATATGAGTGTTTTTAGTTGGTTTGCCCAGCCTTGCATGTTCCCTTTATGAGGAACGAATCGTAGGTAATATTATAATGAGCACTTGTTTTATGTTTACTTTACTTGTGTATTTGATGCAATAATGTGATATTTTATAATTTGATATTTAATATATTTGCTACTTTGAAGTATCAAAATAAAATAATTAGCATTACAATTCACTTGTCAATTGTAGTCCGGGGATGAACATTTTCAAACAGAAAATTCTCTGTGTATAAAGTTTTGAGATATTAGACTTCTGTTTTGAGAGATTAACACTACTTTTTTGAAAAATTCAGACACTAAATTTTCCAAATTACATTTAGATTTTTAAAAATAAACTTTTGTTGTGTATGGCACCCGGCACCCTGATCTCTATTCAGTGATGGCATCCCATAGACTGGAGTAGTTGGAATGACACCATTTAAAACTGAATTGAAGATAAAAAACACTATCTGGGTGAGAATCAGTGTGTATCGGAATTCTGCTTTTAATAACTAAAAAAGTCACTGCTGTTTGGAGTATGTGGTAGTGATTTGGTGAAATGCTACGCTGTCCCATTGGCTTTTGTCTTAGGCAAGACACTTTATCCACATTGTTTCTCTCCACCCAGGTTGTATTAAGTGGGTACCTGGTAGGCTTGTCAATTCTGCGCTGACTCAGTAGCGGCTGTTGTAGAGTATGTTCCACAGGCATTAATTCCAATGACAATAGTGTGAGGCGCATAGGTAAATAGTGATATGCGCCATATAAGAATGCATTTATTATTTATTACTAGAGGGCACTCAGACAGTGCATACCTCCGCCCACATCATAATTTTCCTCAGCATAAATTTCCCCCACATACAGAATGTCCCCATAAAAAAAAAAACAAAAAAAAAAAAAAACAAGTAGATTCCAAAAAAAAAAAAAAAAAAAAAACAAGTAGATTCCTTGGGATTTTAACCCGGGGCTGGTAGTGTGGATATAGGCTAGGCATAGTCCCAGCCAAGTCCCCGCTATCAGACGGGTCGGGGGGAGAGGGGAGGCACAAACTAGAGTACAATTGACAAGTGCATAATTATACAGTATTTTTTAGTAAATTAAAGTGTTATTAAGCAGGTTACTTTACCTGTCATTGGATTTTTCATTGCTGCACCTTCCCTTTTCTCGCTTTTGAAGAATCCTTTTTCAGAATCGTTGAAATAATACTTCCGCATATTAAATGACTGCATAGAAAAGATTTTGTAATATAAAATTTTTAGTTTTTTTCTTATCAGACCCTTTGAATACATGGCCCTTAAAACACAAGTATAAATTATTGCAGCATTAGGAAAATATTTTTTTATAATAATGACTGAAAAGAAATTCTAAATTTCAAAATTTTAAATTTCTTTTTCTTTTCATTCCTTCCAAAAATGACACAAATTTTCTTACATGTTTTGGAATGAAGCGGCCATTTTCCCGAAGACATCGACTTCTTACGAGAGCTTGTCTGTTGAAAGGCAAGATAACTTAATAAAAGATCACACAAAAATAGTATTATTCCCATATTCCAGCTTTGAAATTCAATGCAGTGGATGTAAATTGCCGGTTTTTATTTTTACCTACAGTAAACCAAGGAAAAATTAAATTATAGCCTGGCTTTAGGCCAGACCTTTTTACACCTTGTTTAGCGAACCCGCCGACTGCAAATATTGATGATTACAAATAAAAATAAAATTTTTTTTTTTTTTTTCCAATTAGCACTCTGCTGCCTTGAAATTGCCAAAGATATGTATATTATATGCTTTCAAAAATTATATAAATTTAAAGCATAATTAGCCATCCTATTTTACATTCACCAATAAAATTTTATTTTAATTTTCTCCTCCGTCTTAATGTTTTTGGCAAAATTATTTGCTCTAAATACGAAACCAAAATGTTATTATCCTCCGATGATCTTTAAAAATGCAAAGTACATGAAACAAGGAATAAAAAGAAGTTTCGCTTTAGGTGTAACAGTATACCTACCAGTACCATAGGCTGTACTGTATGTTAGTGTTTTTGTACCGAGGACACTCAAATTTTCAATACAAGGAAAATCGCATGGAAAATAGGTGTAAATAATCCTAACTACTGTAAGCCTAGTGCCTATAATTATTACATTGGTTCAGAAACACTGTAGGCTAGGCCTAGATTAGCCTAACAAAGAAGCAAATATTGTAGCCTACTGTAGGTAGCTAAACAACCTACTTTTTTTGCTAAACCACGCAAACCCCCCAAAACACAGTGCAAACCCCAAATAGGTTGTGACGAACATAAAATTATGCGGGGATTTTTAACCAAAAAGTAGGTTAAGGGTCATTCCATGTCAAATCACCCAAAAAATCTGAAAATTTTAACCACATATTTTTTGATTTTGATGAAACTTGGTGTACTTGTTTAGTGTGATCTCACAGCATCAAATCTCAAATTTTAGGTCAATCGGTTGAGGGGTTTGGGAGAT